AGGAGAAGGTTTAAGGTTAAGATTTAAGGAGAATGGGTTCAAAAATGCAAAGAGAAACAATTTCTCCCCCATCTCTGGTTGCCCTGGGATCTGACTCTTTCATTTTGGCTTTTCCAGTTGCAGCGCCCTTCCTTGACAGTAAAATAGAAATGTGGCTCTGTGGTCGTTGCACATCCCTCTCGCTAGTCCTCCCCACGGCCATCCACGGCCCTCATCCATGTGCCAAAAATGTGCACCCCCCTATCTCCTGTTGGTCTTCTAAGTTGCACATATTAAGGACATGAACAGCTTTGGCCCCAGGCTGTTCTCTTGATCCTCTAAATCCGCCCCCCACCAGCTGTCCTGCTGACCGATGCTGCTGGGTCCCCTAACCAGATGATAACCTTTCATTTGAGGCTTAGGAGGGGAAAGGGAGCAAAGTGCCCAGCAGCCTCCAAACATCTGATGAACATCAGGGAAATCTGGCTACAGGGCTAAGAATTACCATCTTTTCTCTGCCTTTTAATTTCCAGATGGCATCTTCTCCCGGTTCCTCCACTTACTCGAGTTCCTCTGCCGACTGGCACCAAGTGGATGCCAAGGAGATACAGAACACTCAATGGGCATCAGGGAATGGGTGGGATTCTGTCCAGAACTGCATTCAGATTCGATTCCATCATCCTTGGCTTCACTGTGTGGTTCCTCATGGAAGCTATTGTGGTGGCAGGAGGGCTGCCTTGCATGTTACATGCTTGTAACCGGTGCCAGATTCTTCCTAAAATCCCCTCTAAAAAGAATTCAGTTGCTTCTAATCTTAAAGCACAAACTCTGGAGTAACCTGATCAGCTGGGAATTTGGGATACATGTCAGAATGCCATCTCCTTTCTGAAAGACCCGCAGTGGTCTAGTTCAGATCGCTTGACCATCAAAGAAGAATTCCAGTCAAGGCATGCATTCATGCCCATTGAATGGCTTCCTTGTTGATTTATTTTCAGTAAGTCAGGAATCCAGGCGTTGCTTTCCCCATCCCACACTGGAAAAAAAACTTGGCCTGTTTTGGGTATTTGGTTATTAGGCATGCAAAACAGATTCTTGGTCTTGATAAACTGGACACTGGTAACTGCAACTTGATATATCTGTTTCCCTCCTCGCATTTTTTTTCTCCAAATTTCGGAACTGAAAAGCAAGATTACACGCTCTCAGCCACTGACCACATGCTAAAGTAGGAGACGGGACAGAGTTCAAGACCCTTAGATTTTTGCAGAGTGACTTAGCTTTCCCTCCTCAGCTGCAAGAATGGGCCAGGTAGCTCGAGAAGCCCATATAAATCGTTGTTTGCATTGTGCTCAAAATTGGAAAGAATGCAGAGAAGAATGACAAAGATGGTGGGGCAATTGAAGGCTAAATCCTGTGAAGAATGGCTAAGCCCCAGGAACGGGGTACGTTTAGCTTAAACAAAAAAGGATAAGGGTATAGTAATCTTCCACGACAGCAGTCTTCCAATACTTGAAGGACTGTCTCAGGGAAGAGGGCGTATGTCTATTCTCCAAAGCTCCCGAGGGTAGGTCAACGATCAGTGGGTGAAAGCTTTGCAAAGGGAGATCCAAACATGAAATAAGGAGGAAATTCCTGGCTGTCAGAGCTGTTCAACAATGGCACAGTTTGCCTCCTGGAGTCCTTAAGTACTCCGTCCATGGAGGTTTTCAAACAGATTGGACAGTGTGGGAGGGTCTGAGGGTTTCTGCCACGGGCAGGAGGTTAGACTGGGAGACTCTGATTCTATGAAAAGTTGCCCTCAGCAATTATATATCAAACCTGTATAACAATTGGGAAAAATAATTTATTCAGTTCCACATTCTGCCAATTGATTGTGCCGTGTGTGCCTCCTCCTCGTCCTCCTCCTCGTCCTCGACCTCGACCTCCTTTTTAAAGCCAGTGGATTAGGAAGATGCCTGTTTGAGCTCCTTCCGAATGCTATCCAGATTTTCTGGACTTTAAACCATACTTCAGCCCCTTTTACTTAGGCAACAGCACCTGCGAATCTTGATCAAGGTCATCTTTGTCACAGGCACTCCCAGGTTCGGCTTATGGCCACTCACTCGCACGCTCACGGCCTGCTGAGGCACGCGGATCTTGCCAGCCCCCTTGCTTTCTACCTGGATTTTCCAGAGAGGGGAGGCTGGAGCAGACCAGACACGCAGCCCTGGTCAACAGCCGGGAAGTAATTAGGGGCACACACAAATCAGTTCCAACTGAACATGGAGGCACACGTTCAAGCTCTTTGGAGTACACGGAGACTCAGTGAATTTAAAGTCACAGTAAAACTTTACTGGTTACCATGTACATTTGCTCTTTCTCACACGTGTGTACACACACTCACCCCCACTTACCCACATCCTTCTCAACTAAGCTGCCAGGAAGCCACCAAGTCTGGATCCAAAAATGACTCAAGGAGTGGGCGGGCTTCAGGACCCCTTTTTATCTCAGAAGCTCTTGCTTTGTTGATTAGCTGGGATTGGGTTTTTTTCCATGGGCTCAGGCCCGGCTTCCTTTGCCTGGTTCAGGTGACATTTTTCCCCTTGTTTCCTTATTGACTTGTTTCCTTCTTATCTCCCTCCCCGAATGGATCTTTTAGACCAGATTCCTGGCTGCTTGTCCTCACTGACATGCCTGCTTCATCTTCAGTTCTGGCAGCTTCAGTCTAGTCTCATCAAGGTCATCTTCCTTACTTTCTAAAGTTACTTAGTGCTTAGAACCAAACCCATGTTCTGTGTACTTGTCAGCACTAGGCAGCAAAGTCCATGAAATGTTTTGGAGCACCTCAGCTTCATGGGTTGGCATGGAAGGGGCAAGGGGAACAATTGACCACATGACTCATTGCAGACACAATGCAAATTCTGGCATATTAAATAATTTGGATCATATAAAGGACATCATGACACACTTGATGTCTTTGTGGTTTCTACCAGATGCCCTTGTTGCATGAAATGAAATCCTGAGAAAGTTTATGTGCAGTGTTTATGTGCATGCTTATAGTTTGGAAGAAGAGGAGAAGAAATGGAAGAGGGAGGGAGAGAATGTTTAAGAAAGAACGAAATGCTATTTTTGTTGAACATGGCCAAATGTAAAACCACCACGAAGTCAGACATGGACATTTTCTGTGAGACAAAATCAATTTTCCAGCTGTTCTACCTTAGGTAGTATCTAAAGCGATGCTCCATTCCTGTTCTTCTTGTGGAGTCCTTGGGGTCCTCTGAGCTTGGTTCTTTTCTTGCAAACGTTTCATTACCCGGCTAGGTAACATCTTCAGCCGGGTAATGAAA